GATAATTAGATTGATACGCAGTCAATTAGAGGCAAGCAATGGTGATTGTTCAGCAATATTTTTGGTTGGTGGATTTAGTGAATCACTTTACTTAAAAAAAAGAATTAAAGAAGAATTTAAAAAGAAACAATATGTTTCTATTGTTTCGGTACCCTCTGAGCCAGCATGTGCCATTGTGAGAGGAGCAGTCGAGTATGGGTTGAATAAAGATGTGATAAAGAATAGGGTGTTGAAATATAATTATGGGATAGTTGTTAAAAAACCTTGGACTTGTGAGTTTCCGGTTGCAAGGCGTGAAGAATGTGGAAACGTAAGATTAATGCGTTGGATGGCTACTAAAGGTCAACAAGTTAAAGTTGGTCAGAAATTTTCTACATATTTTAGAATGTCCCATGAATATCAAACACATGTAATTGTGGATTTGTATATATCAGATAATATTACAACATATAGTGATGAGCCTGGTGTTTACAAGTTGGGAAAATTTACAGTAGAAGTGCCTGATGTTCATTTAGGAAAAAATAGACGTACCGAATATGAACTTTGTTTTGATCAAGATGAAATTACTGCAACTACTAAGACTCATAATGGTAGAGAATGTAAATGTAATTTTGAATTAGAATTTTAATGTCAAATATATTTATTTTTATGTATGAAGCTTTTTTTTAAAAAAATATTCGTACGAGATTTTTAATTCCTTAAAATAATCTAATCAAAATCAACGTGGCCTGAATTATCACGATCGGTGTACATAGGTAACTCGATAAGTCGGTCGTGACTTATTGGGAGAACTGATTTACCAAGAGTGTGTGACATAAATAAATAAGTAGTAAATGAAATAATAATAATAATAATATCGATATTGATAGTGAAAATAACGAATTAATTAATACAGTATAACTTGAGTTGAGGAGAGCGAAAATTAATATAGTAATAAAAATATTCATTTATCAAAGATAATCTAAATTCAGTCAACGGGTGCACGAGCGCATAATAAATATTGTGTAAAATTAATAAAAAATGAGGTTCTTCCAGGCAGTGAAAATAAGTAAACAATAAAGATATATTACTATGATTTCTGATTCCTCGCTCAATTAAATGTAATTATCAATATATTTATTATATCTCTTTGAGGGCAAGTCTAACTTTCTTGATACTCTTCCCCATCTTCTCGGAACTCGCATAATTATTATAAGAGCCTCCCATTCTTACCATAACCTTGATATTCCGCGATTTTCTTTTCCAAATACGTAGCTAATCTTTAAATCCCAATGCTCAATAACCATATTATTTTATAGTATTTCCAGTGTAACTAAACTTGAGGTAAAAATTCATTGCGATTTTTTTTAGTTTTATTTTTCTTAAATATAAAGTAAATAAATTAAATAAAATTAAATAAATTAATTATTAATATTAATATTGACAAAGGAAAATTTAAATTCGATTTTTACAATTTCTACAATTCTACTACTACAATAAATATTATTATTCTATATATACACTGATTATATATGGTAATTTACCATAACTTCAGTAAGTTGTTACATTTCTGTATTTGACACCAGGAAATTTTTTTATGTATTATAAATTATTCAATTATTAATTAGTTGAACTTCTATTCCTATTAAACGACCATCCTCTGAGTGTCATTCTTCTCTCAGCAGATATCAACGATTTTTTCCTTTCTGGTGTGACTTTTCTTTTTTCAATCATTAAAGCATCTGAAAGTGTAAGCCCATTAGGACTATCTGGTAAATTGATAATAATACCATTGCTACCATCAGATGTTGATGACTCAGATGTCTTTTTATTATTATTATTATTATTATAACCAGATTGCATTGGTGAAAACCTAGATGAATTAAAATTTGCTTTTGCTGCTGCAACTCTAGTAATTATTGATGATGAAGATGATGGACCAATTGGTGATGTACCAATTGGTGATGTAGGTGATATTTGTTCACCATTTAGTTGTGAAATTGCGTAAAATGATGGAATCCGATTAGGGTTATTGACATTTAATGGCGGTAGGAAAAATGGTGAAGTTTGCGACGAAACAATTGTTGATATAACCTGATGATCATTTGTTGTTATTTGTTTTGATTTTTTTTTTTTACTAAGTAGCATTTAATGATTTATCACCAACTGACCCACATGATCCCAAATCTGTGTTATAACAATGACCTTCTTCCATTAACATATTTCCAATATGTATGTAAATCATAGTAGATAAATTTTTTTTTATGTATATAATATAATGCATTGCATAAACATTTAAATATCTAACTTGAATTTTTTTTTTTAACCAGTCTCCTAAATTTCCTTCATTCATACACTTTAGAACAACTGCATAATATCAATTATCTGAAAATTGAGTTATATCGTAACAAAGAGCGTTCGTTAATACAAGTTCATATTGAATTTTTCTCCTAAATATTCCTTTTCACTTTTTGATAATTCCTTGTTTTCTTCAACTAATTGTAAAAACAATTACTCCGACTTTCTGTATCAGATATCCTAATAGTTAAACAGGCATCTTATTATTATTATTATAAGTTCAAATGACACTTTTAAAGAAAAAGAAATATATACTTTTTTTTTGATTTACACCGTTTTTATTGTCAAATTTTTGTATCACAGTAAAAAGTCAATGACCGACTTTGCTAATACTATTATTATTGTTTTTTACATGTATTTCTTTAAATCAATGATAACAACGGTGACACAATAATAGTAACAGCACTAGTGGTAACAGCATTGGTGGTGGTAATGGCGAGTTTAAATTGTTCTGATTTGCATTAACAGAAACAAACCCTTCTTCCACCATTCAAATAACCAATAATAATAATAATGTTAATAGACAAGAAAAAAATTCACAACATTAATAATGATATAGTATTAATAACATCAATGACAACACAATTTCTTCTATGGTTGGCTCAGTCTAAAGACCTCCTATTGCTGCACCGCACGCTCAAATTTCAAAAAATTGCGATTTCATTATTTGTTCAAAAATGCAATAAAATTTTTTTATAAAAAGGGTTTCACGTGATTTTGGCTAAATATTTTCCTTACTGCCAAATTTAGATATGATGGTGAGTATTAGTCTAAATTTAGTAATGATAATCAAAAACTGGTCTAAATTTAGCAATGATCCTTGCGCTCAAATTTCTCATGGGCATAGTAAAGTACATGTTTTTAAAAAGAATAGAACTCTACAACAAATAATTTTTTTGAGAAAATCTCTTTATTACATTAAAACTAAATACATATTCTATCAACTAATAAAGCTAT